TCTCTACCATCTTGCATACCCGCCTGCTTGCCTGTGTGACTGCCTACCTTCTTGCTTGTTCGTCTGCTAGCCTGTCCGCCTGCCTGTCTATCTACCAACCCTACCTTAGTAGATATTTCACCTTTAAAAAGTTTACCAAGGGGGTTTCAAAATTTTTGACGTCAACAATTTTGTCCGCCGCCTTGAATTCACCGTCTTGGAAAATAAGAATTTGAATTTTGAATTTTCCGAGCTCATATTTCTTTACAGCGTCCATGTTGGAAATAAAAATTTCGACATTCTGACCTCATCTTCGTTTTCAGTTCCTGTAAGATACTTAGAGGTGGCTCAAAATGTCGTAACTTAACTTACATTATTTTCTTGCCCTAATAAAGTGAACTTATTTAAAACAAACTGTACCGAAATACGTGGAAGATGCAGTTAAATACTTTCAGACCGTTATCTTGCGTTTTCACTTTCACTCCCTATGAGATACTTAGGAGTGGCTTCGGTTACCGGATCTTGGCTTACATTATTTTCTTATTCTTATGAACTTATTTAAAAAAACTGTACCAAAATACATGAGATTTTACAAACGAAAAGATTTTTTGCGTTTTTCATCCCTTTCAAGATACACAGGGGTAGATATTTACGGATGACGAAAATTGATATCTACTAGTTTTCGGCCGCAACAATGGTATTGTTGTAAAAGACATTTGAAAAATGAGTTGAAACTAAAAAGATAACATAAGTATCAAAGTTTAACAACGAAGTATTAAGAATTTTATAGATTTTAGAGGAAGGAAATCATGGAACTGGAACATTTAAAAATTAAGTATATCAAAGAAAAAATGAGCTATTTGAGCAAACTCAACGGCGTTTGAAAGGGCAAGACTTTTACCCTAAGATGCCGTTTGTAGTTTTTTGTGAACAAAGAATATGGCGATGCTACATAAACTCAAATATAGGCAAAAACGTCGATTATTAGATTTTTACGTTAGGATATCTCAAAAACCTAAAGTGCTAGAGCATTTTTGTGGACGGATTTGGATTCAGCGCCAAAAAATCTACGAGAAATGATATAGCTTACTTAGATTCTAAAAAAATGTTATATTTTGTTGATATGTGTTATTAGTAATCAGTTTTTTTAAGAACACCTCGTACACGCACAGGCACAAACATACGCACACATCCACCTACACATACGCAATATACACGAGCGTGCGCACATACACACATATATAACTAAACCCGATTGACTATCTCTTTGTGATGCTTATTGGATAATACTAAAGTCGACGGTAATATTCGTTTCACTCGAATACGAGTTTTCCATTTCGATTTGATCAGAATCAACCAAGAAATAACGTTCAAACCCTTGCATATGACATTTTCAACCTGAGATATCAATCTACGAAGTAGTCATTCTACACCGCTGATTTAATCATAGGGCGGATCGAACTTATCAAATTTTTCACAAAAAACCGAGTTTTTCTAATACAATTTTTAAAACACTGCAAAATCATAAACAAAAATCGTAGTGAGTCAATTTTTTTTAATTAAAGACAAAGAGCTGCACTTTAAAATGCAATGATCAGAATTATCGAAAAAAATTCTCCACGCGCGGACGCACTGCGAGAGTTAATAATTTTTGAGCTTTAAAAACTTTGAATTTCAAGGTCACGTAAGTAGAGGTTGGGTCAAATCGAAAATCGAGTTCCACCATCTTAAAGTAGAGATTTTAACCTTTAATTTAAAAAAAATTGAGCCTATTACGTTATTTTTCCCAGAGATATCGATCTTCAAAGTTGCGCTCTTTTTGAATCCGAATTAGGTGTTGTGTTAATTTTGTAGCAAAGTGTATATCAGGGAGTAAGAGAGAAGGAGACTCAACTCCATATACGAGAAGTGGGACGTTTCCACCGGCGAAGGTCGCCAGACTCGCTCATAGGAATAGCTGACACTAGCTAGCGTCAGACCCCGCTAGCGAGCGCCATTCATACTGCGTAGCAGGTTGATTTTATCTACCGTTCTCTGTCAACTAACATGCAACAACGTATACGAAATTATGCTTCAAAACTGTGCTTAATTATGATGACGATATGATTTGAGTTGAGTTGACATAAATGATGATGAGTCAGCTATCAAGAGACTCAAACCCCAAATACTATAACCATAAACTTAATCACAAGCCCCTCTCGGCAACTTAAATATAACTTTTGACATTTATACAGTGATGTAAGCACGTTAGCCGAGAGGCTTAGGTTTCTGCTTTGGATTGTTAGGATCGCCGGTTCGAATCCTAGCGATCAATTTTTTTTCTTCGTCGTTATGGAGAATATTGGAAGCATATAGATACGTAAAACTAAATTGAAAATGCAAATAACATATATTTATTCACATTTTTAAGACGTTTTTAAAACGTTTTGTATTAATCGGGCTTTCAGGTGTTCCTCTTTACACACACACACACACACACACACACACACACACACACACACACACACACACACACACACACACACACACACACACACACACACACACACACACACACACACACACACACACACACACACACACACACACACACACACACACACACACACACACACACACACACACACACACACACACACATGTTCGTATAACATTTCCATTGTTTTAAATATACTTTTCTTCATCACTGCAAAATTCGTTTATCTATACATATACGAAAAATATCATCAAATCGTATAACAAAAAGGTAGATCTCAAATAAACCTCGCATTATTGAAAATAATTTTCAGTAGCTCTTGAAAAATATAGAAAATAAAGTGATTTTTTGTATCGATCGAACGGACTGACAGCAATGCCTGTTGCGTTAGTTTTACTTATTTGAATTTCAAGCGCAATAAACTTTTATTTTGAAGAATGTGATATATGTTTCTAACCGGTGATATTTTTAATTTTTTCGTATAATACCATAGTGTTATTTTTTTCAGCACTTATGTTAAAAGCGCTAAAGCTTAGTTTTTGTGGCACGCATTTTAGTTAAATATAAGTATATCAAATTGTTAATAAAAATGCCCCAGTAAACTCTTCAAATGTTAACGGACATTTTCTATCATTTTATATTTTGAATAGGTACATGAAAAAATGATGAAAGTCTATGCTAATTTCTTTTAAATATGATCTTCAAAAGATTTCATTTGTATGTGCTTCATCATTTAAACATAGAATCAATAATTATATGTTATTTGCATTTTCAATTTAGTTTTACGTATTTATATGATTCCAATATTCTCCATAATGACAAAAAGAAAAATTCATCTCTAGGACTCGGACCGGCGATCCTAACAATTCAAAGCAGAAACCTTAGCCTCTCGGCTAACGTGCTTATATCACTGTATAAATGTCAAAAGTTATATTTAAGTTGCCGAGAGGGGCTTGTGATTAAGTTTATGGTTATAGTATTTGGGGTTTGAGTCTCTTGATAGCTGACTCATCATCATTTATGTCAACTCAACTCAAATCATATCGTCATCATAATTAAGCACAGTTTTGAAGCATAATTTCGTATACGTTGTTGCATGTTAGTTGACAGGGAACGGTAGATAAAATCAACCTACTACGCAGTACAAATGGCGCTTGCTAGAAGGGTCTGACGCTAGCTAGTGTCAGCTATTCCGATGAGCGAGTCTGGCGATCTTCGCCGGTGGAAACGTCCCAGATTTCTGTTGGCCGGCTGTATGAGTTGGGTCTCCTTCTCTCTTACTCCTTGGTGTATATTCAGTGTAGGTGACCATATGTGATTTTTTCAGTTTAGGACCCCATATGCGCCTGATTACGCGCAGAGTATACTCAGTAGGTACGAGCGCTGAGTATACTCTGCGCGTCTCTCCTCGACCATAATCATGATTCCCCTTCCACTCGCCTACGCTTCTCAGCCATAATCATGAGTATAGTCGAGGAGCCTACGGTTCACTTGTATCGTAATGTACTATGGCGAGAGTATATTAATTTTATTTAAATAATATCATAATAAATGTTCTAAAAAAATTACTAATTTTTCAATTTTATTTTAATCCTGCTGTCTCGAGAATCAGGCGCTACGGGGTCCAAAACTGAAAAATCTTTTATGCATCAAGGGAGAGCCTCGGATACGTCTTGGCGCGTTGATAGGTGGGGGTACGCATAGCGATCTCGGCACTCTACCACCACCTATCACCAACGCGCCTCAATGTACTCGTAGTCCGCTGAGGCTCTCCCTAGATACGTAAATAACTGATATGTGCAGAGAATACTGTAAATGGGCGATAAACACGTGAAAAAAGCCACCAACCGTGACAGCCGAAGAGACTACTACTAGTTTGAAAATTAAATGTTTACCGAATTTTTAAAGAATAACTTAAGCAAAAAAAAATCGCGTAATGATAGGACTTTCAGGATGGCACTTATTTCCCAACTTGCTTGTAACATCGATTTCAACTCTTAGATCGATTTATTATCACCATTAACTGAAAACTTAATAAGGACCTTTAAATACCCAACGTAACCGATTTAGTGTGCAAAAATAATCTTTTTAATAATATTGTCAATGGTTTGCTTCAAATTCAAGGAAAAACATAAGTATTGTACCTAAATGTGTAGTACATGTTTTTGATGAATTTATTTGTATAAAATGTAAAAAATACATTTTTAGGTAGGTACAAAGTTTGATTTTTCTTTAATATAAAATGAATGAATGACTATGTACTAAAAAAGCCATTAAACATTGTTTTTATAAATTAACACAGCTAATCACCCAAAAAAATTGTTTTCTTAGATTTTAATAATAATAATAATAATAATAATAATAATAATAATAATTCAATCTAAAATTTGAACACAAGTTCATAAGCTAATTGGTAATAAGTTTCACTATATTATGCATACATACTTATACATAAAAATATACTTACATAATAATTTTTTTTTCATGTTGAATATGTTCGAAATAATATATATTTAATTATAACTTATTCAACAAAATAACATACATATTTGTCATACTTAGATCACACTCAATCCCAGTTAGAGTATGATGAAATTTGATAATTGGTACTCTTGCTTCCAAAACTTTTCGCATATTTGAAATTCCTGGTAAAAATACTTTTATTGTATCAGCTATTATTTCTATGATCTTTCTTGTTTCATATTTTTCATGTGAATAATTCGATTTCGTTTGGAAAACTAATTGACTTGCAGAAGTTTCCTAAAAAATTTATTAATAATTATATTAATTTTGTCTTATACAAAAATAATGAAAAAATTACCGCTTTATTCTTTGCTAAAATAATACTCAAATCCAGATCACAACCATCTTTACCAAAGCCGTTAACAGATGAACCAAATGGCAAAACAGCTATATTTGGAAATAAACCATAAAAGCAGCGTTCTAGTAGGTGAGCAGTGTAAAACCTTAAACGTATGCCAATATCATTCAATTTTGTTACTCTGTACAAGAGGAACATTTGATGTGATATCTAAAACAAACAAACTATTGAATCAAATGTTGAAAAAAAAATATAAATTATAAGCTAGAAATAAATTGAGTCAATGAAAAAAAATATAACTATTTTCACTAATCATATGTGGATATATATAGTATGTATCATATATATATAACTTTATATTCATTGATCTTTAAAATTCTCTTTACTTTTATATTAATAAATTAATCTAATAAGGAATTACAAGTAGTATATAATTTATCATACATTTTCTTACCGATTCAGCCATTGTAAGTGATTTAAGAACTTCATTTTCATTCAAAATTTTAGTGAAATTTTTGTATAAATGAAAATCTGCAAGAGAGTTTGATAATTTTTTATCTAGTTTTTGCTTATAATTGCGAAACCATAACATGGTAGTTTGAACTGGAATTATTTGATTGCAATTAACATGAGTTGATGCAGCGAGAATTGCATTAATGCTATTTTGATTCTCAAATTCAATTAAAACAAAATGCTGAAAATTTATTTTTTATTAACTTTATTTTTAGGAATATAATTTATTATAAATAATTTACAATTTTACCCTATTTGTTTTATGTATTGCATAATGGAATACACTTTTTATTTTACCATATTGAGAACAACATAAATAAACATCTGTATAGGATTTTTCAGACTGTACTTCTATTAAAACTGAATGCTGAGCTTGTAGTCTTCGTCTTTCAAACAATTCATCATATGTAATGTTTACAATTTTCTTTTGGGAGACATTGAATGCTTCTAAAATGTTATGAGTAGATATTGATGATAAAACATGATTTTAGTAACTGAATAATACATAACATGAAAAGCAAGAAACTAAGTTAAACATGTATTGGCTAATAAAAATTGATGAAAATTAGTATATGTTATAATTATCAGTTACAAAAATAATATTGAACAAATTTAAGGATTTTTGTATTTTTGTAAAAAATCAAGTTGTTTAATTACCAGTTTCGTGTAGACGAATTGTGCAAATATTTACATTAGATGACAATATTTTGGAAAAATTGTTTGTGTACAACTTGAATACAATATTCGAGGTTAATTTAAAATAAGATTTATTAGAGTTGAATAAAATGTCGGCTGTTGCTCGCATTAATAGCGACATTTTATAACTAAAAAGAAAAAATAAAGAAAATGATAAAGATGATAATTTTAATGCCGATTGATGAATAATTCTGATACTTTCTTTCGAAACGATACAAATTTTGATCACGGAGTAAGAGAGGAGACCCCACTCCATGGAGACTATATACAGGACAGGAGTGGAAGACCTCCCTTACCCCAGCCTGCAAAGTATAATGGACAGTAAAAATAAAAAATACCATTCGAAACATCTCTAATTGAACCCTCCAAAAATGCTCATTATTTTAATTGAACCCCTTCAGTTGTCCCAAAAAAAATTAAAAACTATGATAATTTTTTCGTTTTTTGTAACTGCGATATCTTTAGTAATACTTAATATTTTTGTAAAAGAAACAAGGCAAAAAATTGAACCTTTACTCGTTTTAATTGCACCCCTCTCACTTTTTCAAAATTATTAATATATATGTCAAAAATAACAATCTAACTTTATTGTATGTTCTTTTCAAATAGATAAATTGGGTTATTTGGAAAGAACATACAATAAAGTTAGATTGTTGTTTTTGACATATATATTAATAATTTTGAAAAAGTGAGAGGGGTGCAATTAAAACGAGTAAAGGTTCAATTTTTTGCCTTGTTTCTTTTACAAAAATATTAAGTATTACTAAAGATATCGCAGTTACAAAAAACGAAAAAATTATCATAGTTTTTAATTTTTTTTGGGACAGCTGAAGGGGTTCAATTAAAACAATGAGCATTTTTGGAGGGTTCAATTAGAGATGTTTCGAATGGTATTTTTTATTTTTACTGTCCATTACACTTTGCAGGCTCGGGTAAGGGAGCCCAGGTAACATCAACCGTACCGGGAACGTACCCGCAACTAGTTTTTAGGAACTTTGGTACGAAAGGCGGTGCGGATGGGAATCGTATCGGGTACGTACCAGGATGGGTGACAATGTCCGCTATGGTAGAAAAAATATCGTTTCTGGAACGTTCCGGGCATTGTGTACTGCAAACTTGCCGCAACGTTCCAATACCGTTCCATAGGATTCGTCTGGGTACGTTCCCGGTACGGTTTTGGAACGATCCCAAAATCGAAAAAAATTTTCATCATGGTATCCTGGATACCGATAAGAACGTACCTGGTACGTACCCAGGATGCAGACAGTGGTACGTAACAGCCACGAATCCGGTACGTTTCAGGACGAGAAAAATTGCCATACCCTTGCATTAGGGTACGTTCCCGGTACGTACCAGTACCGCATTTTTCAATGGAACGTTCTTGCCCCGTCTATGATACGTTACTATCTCGTTCCTGCTACGTCGCAGGTACGTACCAACTTTATTTGGAAATAATCAATAAGTTCATTTATTTATTAATTCAAACGATATTTAGTAATTCACAGTATTAAAGTACTTATTTTTTCATCGGTAGAAAACTTTATTAATTTTTACAAATACTTATAAATTTGTACCATGTAACGGGCTGTCATTTAGTCGGTAATCTCCTAAAAGTGCCCGCACTCTAACTATATGAAGCCTTGTTATCTATGCGCTCGATGCGCATCAACCTACCTTGCCTAGGAGTGCGCCTGCGCAGAGTCTCTTCAAAGTTCCGAGTTGGGTTCTCCCAACTCGCCACTTGGCGGTGCTGTCGCTGCTTGTTGGTAGCGCTCGTGCGGCCGCTATAGGAACCTAAATTGAGGATTCCCGCCTAACGTCTCGCACACTTCGTGCTGCGTTACCGGCGAATTCGAATGCCAACGTAAACAATGCGAGGCGCGACCTTCGGGCAAGGGAATAACGAAATAACGACTAATGAACTCGTTTAAACGAAACAAAGGGTGATTTATTTACTCCAATAAATTACACGGAGGGTATGCCGAGAGTCTCACGCACGCACGCGTGAATGACAACACACGCTTTTTGAGAGAGAGAGAGAGATAAAACCGCGATGCCGCGAACTACCTGCTCGCACGCAAAACAATACACTCTTCGCGCTCGCTGCGCGGATCCGCACGCAAAATCAACAACAATTAATACGGGGAGAAAGAAGGTGCACCTACCGCAACGACGGCGTGGATACGGTGGCCAACCGTATCCAAATAGCACGTAGATCTTAACTGCCCCGCTACTCTGCCTCTAACGCGGTTGCTGCTGTTGTTGTTGCCGCTGCTGTTGCTGCTGTTATTGCTGTCGCTGCTGCCGATGCTGCTGTCGCAGTTATCGCTGCTGCTCCCGCTGCTGCTGCTAACGCACCCACGCACTCGCTCGCGATGTCACCAGGGAAAACCAAAAAAACAACAACGAACGGCACGGAGAATACGGAGGTTAGGCGCACGGATCGACTGAGTAGCACAGTCATACTGGCGCTCGGAGCCTCCCCTCCCGGTCGTTGCCCCTTACGCGCTCTCTCTCTCTCGCGAACCGAACGCGGCTCACCTCGCTTAACCGCTAATTCCATCGCGCGAGTCAAACGATTTTCGGTAATCGTTGCAGCCCCCTCCTAGCTTCGAACTACCGGATCGAACTACCCTATTGACTCGCGACCCCAAGGATAGGATTGTGAAAGGAGAGAAATCAACACATCCTATTCTCAACAAATACTTTATTGGCCCATCCCGGACCACGGATGCCCCCCGTCACTTGCCGGAGCCCCCTGGCGCCTTATGCCTGGGGTAGCGCCAGTGCTCCGCCTTGTTGGGGCATTTCGACGTCGTCGTGATGCCGGGATGGCCGCAAATATAGCAGCCTCTGCCCGGTCTCCGGGTGAGGCTGGGCTCCGCCCCAGGGCCCTGGCCTCCTGATGGCTGCTGGGACGGCGTGGCTGCTGACGCCGGGGCGGCGATGAATGTGACGCCGCCCACCGTGGCGGATGTGCGTCCCCCCTCGGTTCGCACCACCACGGTAGGGTCGGAAACCGACCCGTCCACGCGGACCACGAATTCCTGCCCGGCGCCGGGGGCCCCCGACGCTCTCTTATGTTGAGCCTTGGTCGGGGGCTTGGCTGGAGCCCTGGCCGCATTCCTGCTCGTCGGGGCCGCCGGTGGCATCACTGCCGGCGGGCCCGCGGCCTCTGGGGACTCCAGCCCCCGGTCAACGCGCTGGAGGGCCTCTCCGTAGGCCCTCTGCCGCCGGACTACAGGAGCCCACTCCCCCAGCAGTTCCTGGGCACCTCGGAAGTCGAGGAACTCTCCCAGGTGCGCATGCACCTGGCGCTGGAGTTCCCCTACGAACTCCCAGGCATTCTCGAGCTCCTGGAGGCCCAATCTCACGTGCCTCCAGGTGTTCTCGAGACCCACCTGCTGGGGGACTCGTGGGTGGGTGCAGACCCAGTGCTGACTGCCGCAGGCCTCCCTTGGCCCGGGGCACTGGGTCGAGCTCTCCACCGTGGACGCGCTCGACCCTTGGGTCTGCGTACCCTGGTCTCGCGTGGACTGAGACCGACGACCCTCTTCGGATGGGCCGTCGGTCTGGGTGGATACTTCCCGGGTCGAGGGCCTGGATGTCTGGGCCCTCATACCTTCCCGGAGGAAGTCATCCACCCGCTGGCGAGAGCGGCCCTCGCGAGCGGCCGTCTCGACCTGGGCCCGGATGAAGCGACGTAAATCGCCGATCAGCCGATCGGCGCCCGGGCCCAATCCCAGGTCGAGCAGCAGCTGGGTTGCCGTCTCGAGGGCCTCCTCACTGATGACCAGCTTCCTCTCCATCTGTAAAAGAGAAGAAGTGGGGTCAAGGGATTTCTCAGGCTCAGCCCTTAACCTACCCGTCGCCGTTTAACGCTCGACGCTATTCTTTACGAGGACGTCCCGGTCCCCGGCGCTTTCCTCGCGAACATGGCCCATTTGCGGGGGCAGCTGGCAGCACCACCTTCCGCACGTGCTGGGCGGTTCTACGTGGTCTGCCCCTTCCCTTTCCCGCATTGCCATCCAGGTCGTCGCCACCTGGTTCTCGAGGTTCGCACGCGGGGTTTTTGCGCGGCCTTCCTCGGCCACGCTTAACCGGCGCCTCGATCGGTACTTCCGGAGCCGCCGCGGGTTTCTCACGCTCGTTCGAGGGGGCTGCATTCGCGACGCGCTCGCATATCGGATCCTCGCTGGATTCCTCGATCTTCGCTGGCGGGTCGCCTACGCCCTCCTCTTCGTCCAACGGTGCTGAGTCCCCGCCTCCTGGTTCCTCGTCGTCCTCGTCAGAGTATGGACCGAAATAGGGCTTGAGGTCCTTGGCGTGGATCAGCTCAGGCAACTCTTCCTGCTGGTTACCTAGGCGGTAGGTATTCGTCCCGCATACCTCCAGAATCACGTAGGGACCAGCATACTTCGGTGCCAACTTCGCCGAAATGCCCTGAGCTGCGGAAGACAAGATGCGGTTCCGCTTCCACACCCAGTCCCCAACCCTAAAGTCGGCCTGACGTCTCCTCCGGTTGTAGTAGACCGCCTGACGGGCCGCCTCCTCCCTAGACTTAGAGCCAGCGCGCTCCCACAGGTTTGGTAACTGGCGCATGTGCTCTCCCCATTCGGTCAGTTCTTGGCCCTCGGACGCTTCCCGAGCCAACTGATCCTGGGCCCTTCTAAAGGTCGAGGGGGGAGTAGGCTGTCTGCCGAAGACCAGCATGGCCGGGCTATACCCTGTCGCGCTGTGAGTTGCCGAGTTCAACGCAAAGTTGAACTCAGGCAGGTGCTCGTCCCAGCTCTTATGGTCCCGCTCCACATACGATATGAGCATGGCCTTGAGGGTTCGGTTCACTCGCTCCGTGGGGTTTGCCTGGGGATGGTAAACTGGGGTAAGGGCGCGCTGGATGCCGTTCCTTGACAGGTAGGCATCGACCTCTTGATTTTTAAATTCGGTCCCGTTGTCCGAAAGAAAAATCTCTGGCGCCCCAAACCTGGTGACCACCCTCTCGTGCAATTCACGCACGATGGTCTTCCCGTTGGCCTTGCGTACGGGCACGCACTCCACCCACCGAGTGAACAGGTCTAGAAAGACCAAAATATATTCGAACCCTCTCGAGCTCTTTGGGAAGGGGCCAGTGATGTCACTGGCCACCACCTGCCAGGGTCGCGAGACCTCTCGACGACCCATCAGCCCGCAAGGCGGCCTTTGCTCTGCCTTGCATTGCTGACATACCGGGCAACTCCGCACGTAT